TAAATATATCTTATAAATTATTTCTTATTTATTCTTATTTTATAATACCACTTAATAACTTTTATAAAATGTCGGAAAATAATACATCTTAATTACAAATTCTACAATGCAAGACCTAATTTAAATTCTTAGTAGAAGATATTAATTCGGATATTTAAGATAATAAAGAAAAAATGTAAAATTTTATTATGTATAGAAGTAGTTACTGGTTATATCATTTAAATTATATCTTAATACAGAAATTTGTATGCTTTTAACTACATGTATCTTTTACTACAAGATAAATCTTTCTAAATATAAAATCTAAAATGAAATTTTTCCAGGAAGTTCTGGATTTTCTATCACACCTTTAAAATACTTCAATTCTAAAAAATCCCTAATATTGTTTGGACATGGCACTTGTCTGCCAGCAAATTCTATACTCGACATTGGGTGAAGAAATTGCTCTGGGAAATTTCTTTGGTTTAAAAACCATGCTGCTTTAATCATAGAACCATTTCTTGCATAAAATGGAAGTATGTTTACATTTAAATGATTGATTTTTGAATACTGTACTTTAAAAAAATCCCCTTCTGCTGCTTTCTCCCAAACAAAACCATCATTATCAACAGTGGGTTTAATCATGGCTTTAATTAACCATGGTGATCGTTCAATATCATCGCGATTAACTCCTATTTGTACTTCATGATCCCATGGTAAAATATCACCATATTTCATAGCACCAAGTAAAGATCCTCCTTCTAACCAAAATCTAATACCAACTTCTTCTAATTTATCAAATGCGTGATGAGCAACTTTTCTTAATCCTGAGAGACAACAAGGTGGTGTATATCGTTTTTGATAAAGATACGATGGTACACCATTTATTATCGATCCAAAACATCTACTACTTTCCCTTGAACAACCATACCATTCTATGGAATCTGACTCTCTTACTACTTTCTTAATTCCCAATTTTTCAAACATTATTCTTTCACGACTAAGATGCAATTGTTGTACCTTCCATTGTGACTGTTGATTTTTATGTAATAACTTCCCTTCATTCAATTCATAATTTGGTAGTATATGAATCTGGTAACAAGCAATGATCTAATGAAATCAGCCTCACTTATTTCTTAGCATACATGTATACATTATTAAACATTTGAAACTTAAAAATATAAATGATTCTACATATTTTTTATATACATTAAAATTTTATGAGAGGATAATAATTATAAACATATCAAACTAATGCCGAAGTAATTAAAAATATATAAATGTACCAGTATTATTCAGTTACCTAAATAATCTTTCTTGATATTATGTAAATGGTAAACACAATGTAAACACATAAAATACTTAAAAATTAAACAGAAATTACAAACCTTTGAACCTATCGCAGCTGTTTGTATATATAGTGCATCCGTAAATGGTAATAGAAAAGGATCAGTTAATTTCCTCAATAATTTTGTCTCAATAATAGTAGCATGTTTCCCACTCACACTGTCACATTCAGTACCCTGAATTCGTGAAAACTTCAGGCTCCATTCTTTTACTTTTAAGTCTACGCTAACACAATTCAAAGTTGCTTTTCCTATTGGTACAATTACTATACCTAATTTTGCTGCATGTGATATAGTCTCCTGTAATAAAGGAGTGTTGCTTAAATATTGTTCAAATCAATTATAGCTGTTTCATAATAATAAAATCAAGCAAAGATATTTACTTGCACAATTTCCTTAGTGGAAAGTCGACTAGCATCAGGTATAAATAATACGTACTTTGTACGTACATAGAAAAGAGGATTTCTTTCATCGTAAGATGTATTAAAATCTGGTTGCAAAGTTATTAATTTCACGTTTCGCATGCTGTCATTGCCAAAATCCAATTCCAACGGAGGGTATGGTAATTCATTGGAAACTATTAATATTGGTATAGCAGGAAAAAGATTTAATACAGATTCCACCGTAGAAGCTACATCATTTTCAAAGGTTTCAAATTGTCGTATAACTACGGTTACAAGACGAGCTAACCGACGATGAAGTTTTTGCGGAGGATCAGGTGTTACCACGTTTGGTGTCAACAACCGTAATGTGTTTTGTGCTGCAAATAACCTCCATACTCTATGCCATATAATGATATTACCTAATAGTGCAAGCACTAATAATGTTCTGACAAACTTAAGGCGCATAGTTATCGTGTGTTTTGCAGTATCATCGTACGTTAAATTGTATTTCACTTAATATTCATGTTACAACACCTTCTAATATCGTTTGAACATTTGACTGGCCATGACAGTTCGTGAGTATTTCAATTTATTTTTCCCATGTAATACCAACATCTTTTAGTTTCTGTAACTAAACAGTGATGAAATTTACAGTTGTCAACCCTTGTATTGAATGGGGAAGTTTTGGAACAGAAATCTAGTCTAGTAACTGTTAAAAACGAACGTTGATAACACTGTTGCATTGTTGTTTTTATATAAACGTCAAAATCTACAGTAGTAGTAGCTTGGCGTTCTGCTAAAGCTGAGCGAAAGTTGTAACCTAGTTAGTGATCGTATCGTATCAATTAAAAAAAGAAGGAGAACACCGAAGTTTGCATAATATTTTGACAAGAAGATCGTTCCATTCATAAACCATGCCCTTTCATCGTTATACACATGCGGTTCTCTGCCGTATTCCTCTATCGCTTCGAACGAGAGGCGAGGTCACGTTAGACGAGGCTAGAACACAGCATTTGGCGCTGGCTCAACTTTTGCGAGAACTCGATATTGATGTCGTTGAAATGCCACCGGATGAAAATTCTCCGCTTTGCGTTTTCGTTGAAGATATTGCTGTCGTCTGCAACGGTATCGCACTCATAGCACGACCAAACGAATCGTCTCGGATGAAAGAGGTATTTATCATATTATCTATTCTCACAAACATGTTTTATTTCTTTAGTTGTTTTGGATACGTACGTATGCCTCTGTCTGCATGTACGTACGTATGTATGTATATATGTATATATACACATAAATTGAAGTATGGAATAACCGACACTGATTAGTTTAAATTGTACGTCACAGTGAATGGTGGTGTCAGTGTATTTGTAGCTGAAAAGGTGATGATCTAATTTTCAGATTGAGACAATTAGAGCTGTTTTAAAGAAGGAATTGGAGATTCCACTTATAGAAATTGCTGATAAAAATGCTCATCTAGATGGGGGTGATGTGTTATTTACTGGTAAATTTTTAATTTTCAATATAAAACTAACATCATAATAAATTACTATTTAATATTAATAAGATTGTTTTTAATTTATTGTTATAGGTAGAGAATTCTTTGTTGGACTATCCCATTATACAAATGAAGCAGGTGCAAGAGCTGTTGCAGCAGCATTTCCAGAGTATCCTTGTGTACCTATCAAGGTTAGTTAATTTTCAAAAATAACATTTAACGTTTAAGGTATTTCATATGTTTCAATTGTTTAAGAAGTATTTTATTCAATTATTTTTTTAATGCTCTATTCATACAAGAAATTTATAATTTCTAACCCTTTCGAAAACATACAAAAGGAGCATGAACGGTCTGATAAAATATTTCTCAATATAATAATATCATTTTCTTTGTGTATTAAAATGTTTTCCAAGTTTTTTACAGTATCTAGTTGCATACTATATCCTGTGTCTATAATGAATATAGTGTACCATCAAGAAACTAAAATGTGTATGTGTTTTGTGATTGCTTTGCCTTGAAAGAATTTGTTTTTTAAATGTTTATAGTATTTACATAGTATAGAGGAACAGTTAGAGAAATAGAATAAATGTGATTGTATAATATATGTGAAGCAGAATGCAATAGTTAAATTAAAATGTAAGCTACTTAAGCTTTAAGTTTTAGAATTTTAGAGAGTTTTCATAGCTACATTTTTAGGTATTATTGTTAAGTAATAATAAGAATATAGTTATTAATTCTATCATGAACCACTGATACTCTGTGATTATATTGTATTTTCTTAGTTACATGTAAGCATTTTAGATACTTTCATATTAATGTTAATAAGATACATATTTGCAGCACATTTTATAGAATATGGTGTACAAATAGTGAATATAAGTGTGCAAATATTTGTATATGCATATATACATTGGGTTGAAAATATTTCTAATGAAGTATAAATATTAACATTATACAATTTACTCTTTTAATGTTCATTTAAGGTGGGTGATGGTGGCGAAGAGGTGATAGTGGAAAGTCTTACCTCAGCCCCACTTCAGGTTTGGGTGTATTAGACTGATTTTCCTTTGCATATTCCATTGCAAAAAAAATTCACAATTTAGAAACACAATTTAGCACGATTTCATAAAGTTTATTTATGATTAGATATTTTATATTATAGATTTTTAAAAAATGCTTTCATATGAAGAATATTACTATGTGATTTATGGCTTGGTGCAGTTTTGCACATGAAACACACATACACTTATGTACAGAAATATTTTACTCTTACATTTGCACACAATTAACATTTAAATCTATCTGCATAGGTATGTCATATTGTTAACTCTAGTACAATGCAGCTTGAATCGATTATTGTTAAAAAGGCATTGTAATTGTTAGGAAAGTATCATATGTGCTGCACATTATATCTCTATCACTTACCAATGAAGAACTTCTAGTAATCGATCAAGGTTGCATTATTTTCTGTTACTATAACAGACAAAACACATAAGTTAATATTAGTATGCACTTACCATTTTGGAACAAATATAATGACCTTTTCATAAAACAACAAATAGAGTATATAATAATTCTATCTCATGTTTTCAGCCTTATAAAAATAAACCGAAATTTATTTTGAAACTACTATTATCTAACACATGAAAGTTTTATTATTAAACGTTCTATGAAATTCAGATAAATTATTATATTTGTTTCATTCACAATAATGAAACTTTGCTTCAATATTTTAGTTAATGCAATGCTACAAAATCATTCAATATAGTGAATAATTTTTATTTGTTATTAGATGCATCATGTTTAAATAAATTTTACAGGGAGTGGCTTATAAAAAAAACTTATGCTTAAGTTATAAATATAATTATTTTCTTGTAACAAAAAGTATGATCTTCTTGTATGATATTCTTGAGATAAGGAAAATATTAGTTATAAACATCAGAATAAAAGTTAATTGGGTATACAGAAAATATTAAACTACTTGATAATAAATATATATTGTTCTTATTTAATTATTTCTTACAGGTTGCTGAATCTAAACGTCTCAAAGCTTTAGTTACAATGGCTGGTCCAGACATTATTTGTGTTGGTGCAGGAAAAGAATCACAAGAAGTTTTAAAGGTATCTAATTTTAGTATTATAATTTTCTGTCAAATTCTAGTCAATGATTTATCTATCAGGGATTGTTTAACACATTCAATGTGGGAGAATTTTTACAATTTCAATCCTAGTATTAATACAATAATTAACAATTAAAGATTTTTTAATAAAATTTTCAATACTAGTAGCAGTTGTAATTATGAACCAATAAAGACTAAAAAAATCTTTTAATTAATTTGTAATTATACGAAATTGTCCTTATGTTTTGTATTGCTTCATATAGAGAATTGAAAGGGAGGCAACATATAGTTATCAAACATTTACTGTGCCTGAAGATGTTGCCGCCAATGTACTATATGTGAATGGAACGTTAATTCATCGCTCAGAAGATGAGATTCCACAATCAAGTAAAGTGTTTGCAGAAAAAATTGAATTTCCAACCAGATCATTGCATATGTCTGAATTAGCAAAGGTCAGTTCTGGTTTAACGTCTTGTTGCTTACTGGTACGTAGACCCAGACATATTCGCAGTATCTAAACCAAAAAATAACAATTTAATTCAAATCTAGCAAACGTGTTCAATTGCTAGTGTCAAATTTTAACACAAATCAAGTTTAAATATTTCTAATGAGAAATATTACCAAAATGCTGTGCAAAAGAACTATAATATTGACGTAACAATTACGTCACTCTAAAACTAATAAACAAAAAATTTATTTTATAATTATTTTATAAAAAGGTTATCTTAATAGAAAAAAGAGTTTATAGTTAAAAAGATTAATATATTTGATTTTAATGTATTTACAATAGAGAATAATATATTGAAACAGTAATAATTTACCTAATTTTTAGACTTATATACAGTCATGATTTTTATCTTGCCATT